AGGAATGCACTGGCGAGCTCAGCAACACCAAAAGGCCTGGAAGACCACGGAAGACAACTAAAGTGGATGATCGCAGAATCTTTTCCTTAGTGAGGAAAAACCCCTTCACAACATCAACAGAAGTCAAGAATACTCTGGAGAAGGTAGGCTTATCATTGTCAAAATCTACAATCAAGAGACGCCTTCATGAATGTAAATATAGAGGGTTTACAACAAGGTGCAAACCACTGGTAACATTCAAGAACAGGAAAGCCAGATTAGACTTTGCCAGATAACATCTAAAAAAAGCCTCCCATGTTCTGGAATAAGATTCTTTGGACTGATGAAACCAAGATTAACTTGTACCAGAATGATGGGAAGAGAAAAGTATGGTGAAAGAAAGGAACAGCTCATGATCCAAAGTATACCACATCATGTGTCAAACATGGTGGAGGCAGTGTTATGGCATGGGCATGTATGGCTGCCAATGGAATGGGCTCACTGGTGTTTACTGATGATGTGACTGCTGACAGAAGTAGCAAGATGAATTCTGAGGTGTATCGGGCTATACTCTCTGCTCACATTCAGCCAAATGCTACAAAACTGATAGGACGCCGCTTCACAGTGCAGGTGGATAATGACCCTAAACATACTGTGAAAGCAACTCAAGACTTTTTGAAGGAAAGAAATGGAATATTCTTCAATGGCCAAGTCAGTCGCCTGATCTCAACCCAACAGAGCATGCTTTTCACTTACTGAAGACAAGACTGAAGGCAGAAAGACCCACAAACAAGCAGCAACTGAAGGTGGCTGCAGTGAAGGCCTGGCAAAGCATCTCCAGGGAGGAAACTCAGAATTTGAGCTTTGAGAACATGGGCTCCAGACTTCAGGCAGTCATTGACTGCAAAGGATTTTCATCCAAGTATTAAAATTATGGTTATATTTACAATTATGTCACTTTGTCCAAATACCTTTGAGCCCCGAAAATGGAGGTACTTTGCTTAAAATGGCTGTAATTCCTAAATGGTAAATGCCATATTTTTGTGGAACCTCTTAAAGTAAAGCTGAAAGTCTACACTTCGATCACATTTTGATTGTTTTATTTCAAATCCATTGTGGTGGTGTATAAAGGCAAAATCACAAAAACTCCATCATTGTCCAAATACTTCTGGACCTAACTGTATAAATTTTAATATGATAAAAACATTTTGACCAGTGGTTTTCGTCACAAAAAAGACGTTACATGTGAACCCAGCCTAAATTGTTTAGCTACCAAGCCACATTAGAAACGACTAGTAAGTTAGTTCAGTCAAGGTATCTTTCTGTAACATGAATAACTATGTAAATCAGCTAGGTTAGCAATTTCTTTAGCTATAAAATAGTACATTAATACATTAGTTATATCTGTTCTCTATCTGATATTGCTATTGTTAACATCCACAAGATTTACTCCTTAAAAAAAGGTTCATTTATTCTTTGTTGAGGCTTACCTTATTGATGGCCTGCAACTTGCAGTGGTTTTAACTACATACTGAGTAGTTAAACAGTTTACTCTGTTTAAGATTCAACTTTATTATCATTGTGCAGTACAAGTACAGAGCCAATGAAATGCAGTTCTTTCACATATCCCAGCTTGCTAGGAAGCTGGGGTCAGCTGTCATACAGCAGCAGCTTGACAGTGCTGGGGCTTGAACCCCTAACCTTCCAATCAGTAATCCATAGCCTTAACCGTTCAGCCACCTCTGCCCATAAAGAAGTGGGTGGGCTTGAACCACCAACCTTTCGGTTAACAGCCGACCACGCTAGCCTATTGTTCCACAGAGACTGAGTACTGTGTAGTCTTAGGCACCCTAATTTTTTTTAAATACAATATTGTTATAGATGTTTATTTTATGACTTCTACATTATTGAATAAGTACAAAAACATTTTAGATTTCGAAACATTCATTTTTCCAACAAAAAATTAAATGTTACAGAAAAAGGTTTGTATGCCAGTAAAGAAAGTAATACTACATAACACACCACTTTATCAGACAAAAAAAACATAATGAAGGCCACTGGGTTTAACTGCAAAAACAGAAGCAAGTGCAACAGTCAGAGTCTCAGATTCTCCAACATGCTCAGTAAAACATACCACCTAATTTCTTACAAAACTGTACAAAGTGTACCTTACACTGCTGATGCATTTATTAAGCTTGATTACTGTTTACTGATCTTTATCAGTGGAAACATTTCATTTCATTATTTGCGAAGGCATCTTTGCTTTCCTTGGCTTTCCTAAACCTTTTACACAGTACTGTATGTTTAAAATCTTTTTTGTGCTTTAGATGCACCATCCCTGCTGACAATATCCTGTTTAATATCTCTTTTTCATTACGGGTTTTGATTCTGACATTAATTTACTGTTTAAGTCTGTTATAACCTATAGCAGGTGATGAGGGTTAAACACCAGTTCATGGTATATGGAACATTATAGAATTAATGCTTATAAATTAAAAAAAAATGTACACCAAATACTGCCACAATCTCTAACTATAAAGTTTCTTTTACCGTGTGCAGTTCTATTATTATCATGTTATTGTTTCTCAGAGTTCTGGTGTTGAGGACAACATTATACTCTTTATGGCATTTTATTTATTTCACAACAAGCAAATAATTCAGTTCTATAATTATTCACATGTAAATGCATATTGCAGTTTGCTGTATTTCCATATTAATACATCATAGTTACACAGGTCCTTACACTGGAAAAGGGCACTGGTGTTTAAAACATTACCTTTTGTTTTATGTAGCTGTCATAATATCTGGAATATAAATACCATTCATGTGTTTTTATTTATTTTTCTTTTAAAAAGGCCTTGCAGACATCTGAAATAGCCTTTTAATAATCTTTTATTTCCCAATACAGTATGCTGTAGAAGGCCTGTAAAAACCTGCAGAATTACAGAATTACAGATTACAGAAATCATCAATGTTCTCAGAATATTTGCTATTATATCACTATACAGACTTCATGTCAGTAAGTACCAATTTTGCAGGTAACGTTACATTTGATTGAAATGTACTATTATATTTTCCTAAACACTTCTTATCCTAAAGGCTAATATATATATATATATATATA